TGCATCCGCTTTGATTTATGGTTACCAGTCATAACTTCTGTTATGACTGCATGTGAACATATTACTCAAATACACTGCTCTTACACTGCTTTTAGCAAATTACTAAATAATTTGTTACTATTATTCTGTGCAGAGCAATAGTAAGAACTAAACATGAAAGTTATAAATTTCATTCATGGGAACTAAAGTGAGAATGACAGGATTCTGGCAGAGATGGCAGAAACGGCACACGAGTCAAGACTAAGTTCTCCACAGTCTGCCCCATTTAGACCTCCTAATAAGCCACTAGAGAATACTGAAGTAAATTCTCTACCTCTGGTGACTTTTCATCCATTTCAGGCAAGAAGACTCAAAAAGGAACAACAAATACAGCAACAGCTGAAGCGCAGATAATGTGATGGAAAAATACAGGCAGAGAGGGAGAGCAAGTTAACTGGGCAACTGGCAGTCTTCAGTACTGAGTAGCCAAAAGGGTTATTCTGATACTGCTGCCATTGCTGCCATACTGCAGCACCTTTTCAGTCATGCCTTCTGTTGGCATTCAAGATACACTCTTACTCTTCAGTCTTGGAACTGTTTGGCATCCTGAGAGAATGGCCAAACCATTCAATTTTTAAAGAGGGCCAAAATGGAACATATCTACATGCATAAGTATCCACCTACAATACCATTTAAATTATATTTTTAAAAAATCTGACTTCTCATAGAGAGGTAGGACTGGAGTTACCATGAAATGAGAGGCCAAGGACTGATGTGTCACATATAAGTGGTTGATGTAATTGAAGGCAGGCACTACTGTCTGGCCAGACAATCACTTTCCATTCTGAGGGCTCTCAGGCATTTTTGTGAAATTAAAGATCAGGGTTTCTCAGTGTACGGGGGAAAAAAATCATTAAAAACTTATGAAGTAGTGACAAAGAGAGAAGAAGAGCTCCATCAATGCAAACTTGCCTGTCAGCATGTTCACAGAGGAATCTGAACATACAGGTGTAGGATACATTTTGTCTGGGAAAGAGATGTCCCAAGAAATACTGCCCTTTCCTCTCTCCCATCCTCCTCATACCCACCCGTACTCAGCCCATCCCCTCCTCCTTATGTTATTCTCACAAAACTATATTATTTTGGAGCACTGCAAACCAGAGCACTCAGCTGATCTAAATTAAAATCCTTGACTGAATTTTGTTTTAAACAGGGAACATTTAAAATATGTTTTATAGCACCAAATGGAATATAGTTTAAGAGACTCTTTTTCTTAATGTATGATAATATACTTTAATATTGCATATTTGGAGCAGGTTTCCAAAGTTCATCTCTGTATTAGGAGAAATTATTAACTAAAATATCACATGCTCCAAATAATCAATTTTAATCTGCCTCCAATTAGTTTTTATCCGGAACAACTTATCATCTTTGAAGTAATTATAGTATATTAGCATATAACTACGTTGAGATTTTTATAAACACAAATTGTATTATCCACTATCAATTGGACAACTTTTATTTCTGAGACAATCTTTACATTAATCTAACAAATTGTAGTGGAACAGCTTTGTTTTTACATAACTTAACTGTCCAATTGAATTTATGAAATTAAAAATATATATTTAAAATAGATGCCACCACTCCTTACATGTTTTTACAGTAAAAAATGGGACAGACAGGTTTGTACTTAATATGCATACTTAATGTTTTATGACAAATTTGGATTTTTTTTCTTGCTAAACTGATGTGTTCACAGACCGAAGTCCTGGTCTTTCTAGCATTAGTGCTTTGATAATTTCTGTTATGCAGCATAAGCAATAAAAGTGTGTATGAGCAATGCAGTGGGTGTTGACAAATAATGCCATGGACACCAGTCTGACCACAACTTCTCTTTAATGCCTCAGTACAGAGAGTAAACGATGAGGACCATGAGCTAATGTCCCACTTCTAACTGCATTTCATGAGTCACATTCAAAAGTAGCCCTTCCCTGTGTATGTGCTCTTTGTCCCTGAGAGGTGCAAAAGAAATGAAAGTTTGATGTTATATATGTCCAGGTTATTTATTTCAGACATTACTGCCTTTGAAAAATAGCATTGATAAAATTTAATGATATTTTGAAAAAAATATTTGTCATGTATATTTGTCAAACAATTATGCTTTCTGTCATCATTGCTAACTCCAGTAGTAAGGAGGCACTCAGGCAGGTTTTCCTGTAATATATTTACTTTTATTAAATATTATTCTAGCAAAGAAAAAATAAAGTGATGGATGTAGCCACATCTATTATATGCAAATAGTTTTAACAGTTTCTGATATCTGCTGAAGTGATGAACTGTTGTTACTGTGGGTGTCTGGCTCTTTTCATTCTGAAACAAACCAGAGTACACATACTTGGATTGTCCACATATATATTTAAGACTGAAAGTACAAAAGGCAGTAATAGATGGGGAAGCAATCTTATATTTTTTGACTGATGATGCAGTATCCTGCAGGCTGCCTAATATATGTTCTAAGCACAGGAGGTCCTTTGTAAGATTTTTGAGTTGCTCTTCAATTCCAAAGTGTACTACTAAGGGAAATATGTGCATGCTCTTCCATGAGGGAGCCTCAGTTTGCAGACTCCACATGAGACCGATAGGAAAGGCTGTTACCACTGCATGTATTCTTTGTATTTACATTATTCAGGACTGTGTAGATGATTTAGCAGAATGGCTGTAGTTTTACCAAAGCATAAAAATCAATTAGCTGGTAATATCTTTAGTTATTCATCTCTGTCACAATGTTGGAGTCGTCATTTGTACCCTGTGTATTGCGGTTTCAAGCCACAAAAATGATGAGAGGGCTGGAGCACCTTTGCTATGAGGAAACACTAAAAGATTCAGGGTTGTTCAGTCTGGAGAAGAGAAGGCTCCAGGGAGATCTTATTGTAGCCTTCCAATACTTAAAGAGGGCTTAGAAGAAATATGACAGAGTTTTTTGCAGGGCCTGTAGCAATAGGACAAGGGATAATGGTTTTAAACTAAAAGAGGATAGGTTCAGGCTAGATATAAGGAAGAAGATTTTACCATGAGGTAAAATGAGCCCAGAGAGACTGTGGATGCTGCATCCCTGGAAACAACCCTTTTGGACTATTTTTTTCTTTTTTAAGCAGGGATCATTTGAATTATATGTTCTAGCATGATCTCCTGACCAGTTGTATTAGTACAACACACACAGCACACAAATGAACAGCAGCAGTTGAGAGCAATGATGAACCAGGTTGCCCAGAGAGATTCCAGAGATGTTCCATCCCTGGAAACAGTGAGGGTCACGTTAGATGGGTCTCTAACCAAACTGATCTAGTTGAAAATGTCCCTGCTTATTGGACTAGATGCCATTTAATTATCACTTAATGTCAAACTATTCTATAATTCTATGAATTTCAGATTACATCAGTAGCAGATGTAGCAAGACTGTATTTATCTCAATCTACATGTTGTGCTGTGAAAATTTCATGAAAAGAGCATCTGAGTAATTTTCATTTTCTTTTCTTTTTATTGTTTTGTTGAGGATAATATCTAGTAAGTACAGCTAGGATAAAAACTCTTTGGGGAGAAAAAAAGGAAGAGAACCATATGTGGCACTGAAGAGTGAGAGGAGACAGAGAGAAGGAGAAGAAATAATATACAGGCTTCCAAAGCCTTCCAACCTGTCAAACCGGATTAGCCTAATCTGTATCTCACACCCTGAAAACTTTGCTGAGCACTGCACAGCGAACCCAACCAACTCCTTTGCACTAATTGAACCCAAATTTTCTGTCTATGAAGCCAATACCCTAACTGTTACACAAAGAGCAGGTGGGTCTACATTTGCTTTCTCCAGCAGAAATTCAAAAACTAGAGTAATCACAATTATGCTACATGTCGAGAGTTATCACAAGGTTAAGCTCACTCGGAGAACATGATGCCTGAGTCCTTGTCAGTCTTCGGCGGAAAATGAGCATGGAGCAGAGGCAGCATATTGGGTCATTTCTGGACACATGGAAAATTACAGCTGTAAGCTTTCAGGGAATCACTGAGATGAACTGAATGCTGTCTAAAGAGTGCTGGCCCCTCCAAGATTACCCTGCCACATAATGGTTTCCTCAGAACAAAGATTTTTTCAGCTTTATATGGCTGATGTCATCTCAATATCTTTAGGCCTTTACCACTGTGATGTGATTTATGGCTTCAGAGAAACTGCCAGCCATGTATATATTTTCCATTAATCCCTGAATTTTGTAATCTCAGAATTTCCTTAAAGACTTAGCAGGAGAGCGTAAGGCAGTCTTCATGATTGTAAAGGTAAAGCACAGAGATTCTCTGATACTTTTGTCACCATAATCATCCAACTGGTTTAAAAAATTTTGTTAATGGACAGAAGTTTTGTTCACTGGCGAATGAAAGTATCTATTTTCCTAGATGCCATTGGCATTATTCACAGTGAAGTAGGTTTTTGGAAGAGTAGTTCCAAAAAGCATGTGCATATAGACAGTGTAAAGTCTATAAAAGTGATTTTCAGACTTTTTAAAATTACCACTGCCTTTTGTCCTGTCTTTTCTGCACTGTGATTTGGAAGGTTGTCCAGAAATGCGAGCATGTTCACACAAACTTTTGTGTTTATATCGTACTTGTAAGACATGAAATGTTGCCAGCAGTTTAAAGTAGGTATCAACTCTATTGCTAAAGCAAACATCTTGACCACTGATTACAGGCACAGTCACTGTTCAGTAAATGATGCCTTAGTGAATATTTACATGGGTGCTCCTATAAGGATCTTCACATTGCCTCTTTTGGGATCTTCACATTGCCTCTTTTGGGATCTTCACATTGCAAAAAGATGTCACATTGACACACAGTCATTTCTTGAATGTGTATCATGTAGTTTATGTGTGTTCATACTCATGTATGAGTTTGAGTATAATCATGTATGAGTTCTGTATACTCATGTATACAGAATCTCATTCTAAGATGTTTAACGCTGCATCCTTGTTCTGCAGGATCTGTGAATCCCACCTGCCTTGTAATCACCCTCCCAGCTTGTAGATACAAAACACTGCAGGGAATATGCATGGAACAGCTCGTATCTTGAAGGTAAAAAAAATAGTGCTTTTTTTTGAAGTGATTTTTTTTTTAATTTTAATTTCACACTATGAGAAATGGTACCAGAGACTTTTAACTTCTGTAGATGTTGTGGATGATTGGTAAGAAAACTGTTTCCTGCCTTCATTTTGTGATCTTCTGAATTAAAAAATCCTTTCTATGATTCAGTTATGCACAGATAGAGACTTTCATCTCCACTTGCCCCTCTCCACATTTAAACAACACGTCTAAATAACCAGAAATATTGCAGCATAAGTGGCAGTTGCAGTTCATGTAGCTCTTGGAGTCCTGTGACACTGCAAGAACACAGATTTCACAAATTTAGGCCAGAACCTGGCACTATGGGTTAATAGTTATCTAATCTTTAGTAGCATAATAGTTACAGACAAGTTGGAAATGAGTTATGGGTGAGTAAGCCAATGAATTTACAACTGTTTCCATCCCATGGACTGCAGTCTCAAGAAGTAATGATTAGTCAATGTTTCTGTCTCTCGCTTGCAATACCACAATAATTTGTTAACAAGCAGAGTAGTTGGAAGAATAATTTTAAAGAAAAGATTACTGAGTTTGACTATATTATAGGTAGAGAACCTAAGTCTGTATTTACATGTACAATAAATTCAAATTAAATAAGCTAAAACTCAAAAGCAGCTTAGTGGGTATTAGAGAATGATTGACGAATGGGTTGCCAGTAAATTAAAGACAGCAATATATCCAGGTTGTGTAAAGCTTTGTCAAACTGTAGATCCTTTCAAGACTTTTCTTTTAGCACAGAGGCAGAAAAGGAATGGGGGAAGATACAAATGAAATCCCATCACTTTTAAAATGGGCATGATCTCAGTGCAGACAGCGTTGTATATGATCTTGTTGAGTGCTTTAGGTTTTCTCAGATGAAGCACTATTTCTTTTTTCCTGAAGCACTATTTCTTTTTTCCTGAAGGAGTCTTCAGGATAACATACTTTCATACTTCAGGAATTATGAAATAATTGTCATGAATCTCTACCCTGACAGCCAAAGCCTGTCCTTGTGCAGAAAGGAACTATGATCTTTTCCAAATCACCTTCACCAAAATCATTCACAACGTTGCTCGAGACATAGCAAAAGATAATGTGATTATAATAAAACAATCACATTCTCATGCTTTAAAGCAATTCATAGGTGATATACACAACTATATAATATACAAATTATATATATATATCATAGGGTATGAATGCTTCTTTAGAAAGTGTTCGTAAGATTTGTAACAAAAATTTCTACTTGTCAGGAATGTGAAATGGAAATGTCTGATCTGACTATAGCATTAACAGTGTTTAAAGCATTACGTGTAGGTTTCTTACAGAAAAAATAACAAAGGCAAAAGAAAGTTTATTTCTTTGACAAAAATGTCAAATGTTGTATATCAACAAAATATAAGCAGATGTAAGTAGATAAAATTTACAACGTTAACCCATATATATATATGAAGAATTATCCAAAATACCATTCCACTTGGTCATATTTACATTCTTTCATGCTCCAGGCAAAAAGATTTTTTTAAGTCATCATATGATTACATTACATCTTTACCAGGTAGTGATTACACTACCTCACTTATTAGTCCCATATGCTGTATTCAGCCCTGTCAGTTCTATTTTGATGTTACCTACATTAGAGAATGACTACATTTTCTGAATGGGCTTTAATGGAAGAAATTCATATTTGCTAAGATTATCAGAATGCTTTCTTTTACACTGGTGACTATTTGCGATGGCGTTTGAATGTGCAATCCTTTTGCATCACAAAGCCAAATAATTAATAAAGGGGAAAACCATGTAGAGTATTACTGAGATGAAGAGCTAGATAGACACTAAAAATTATTAAGATTGTTCATAATAGTTTTAGAACTATGTACAAGTATATATGTTGCTCTGACAATTCAGAACACATTCTGAATTGAGACAAACTACATCCACACCATCATGCTGTTTCCTACCCAGTCTTCACACTGATTTCACGAGAAAAGACAGTTATTAGGATCCTCCTGACAACACTGTTATCTGTAAGGCTGCAGTTTGGCTGTGATTGTGTCTCCAGCTGATGAGACCCCAGCACAGAACTCAGCGCATGGTAAGTCTGTAGGTACATGGTGCCCGCCATGGCTACCATGTAGCCATACCTGAACTAGCTTTGAAGTAGTTGCCTGGGTGCAGATAGCAGTCTAGCTATGGCAACATGAAGCTCATGGCAGCAATACAGCTGTGATGGCAGTGTAGTCAAGGGAAATAAATTATTCATGTAGGGGTGTTATAAGTTATATAGTGGTGAGATGCTTTTCTCACATTTGTAGAACACAGTTTCTATTCTTCACATCATGAATTTCATTTTCTGATGGAAGTTTTAAACAGTAAAAGCATGAGAACAATGAGTTTTTGTGGAAAAATAATTAGAGCAGCATTCTCTGGAAAGTAACTTGGTAGAAAAAATTGGGAGTCGACTTTTTTTACAGGTTGAGGAAGATATTTTTCTACACTGAATGGGGTATAAGAAATTATGTGCAACTTCTGTCATGAGACTCTCCCATGCCCATAAAATACCTTTTCCATATGTAAAAATGAAATATTATTTTAGATGCTCATATAGCATAGTTCGACTGATATATTAACATAATCCTGAGAAACAGAAAGATGATGGGGAGCTGAGTATTCCCGTTTATGGAGTCACCTCCAGCCCTGGTCCAGCTGTCTAAATGTTTGTTTCTGGTTCTGTATATCAAGTATTGTTTATAACTCAATTTTGACAGTATTGGTCTTTTCTATGGCATAACATGGCTTCAAATCTTTTGCTGCATGGGACAGCTGACTGACAAATTCAACATGAAAAAAAACTTATAATAGGAGTCATGTCATTCTGCCTTCCCACGGTCCATCTGTCCCTGCACCTGGTAGGAGTAGTCAGGAGTTGTCTTTGGCATGAACATCATGTGTTCTTTGCTGAACTGAAAACAACTGTTTCTGTAACAAACCATAAATGCTGCTCACTGAAGATATACTTTCATTAATACAAAGCTTGCTTCATCTCAAATTTTGCAACCATCCTCCTTTGATTCAGCTGCCATCTTCCAAGTACTAACAGCATTGATAAAACTATTTGGAGTTGGAACAAAAAGACCTCTTTTTACTTGCCTTGCAAAAGTCATAATGAGGCAACATGAAAGCTAAGACATTACTTTCAGTGAGGCTAAAATTTGGTACAGGACAATGTTAGAGTTCTGCCAATACACTTGAAAGACCAAGTCTCTGACAAAAAAAGTAGTTGAGAAATGCAATAACTACGTTCTTTCTCTAAGCATTTCAAATACTTCCAAATTTCATATCCTACAGAAAAGCTTAGTCATTGGGTTAGAAAACATTCAGAAATTCTTTCTTCATCTCCTGTGATGATGTTTTTCAAGTAATAATTAAATAACCACCATGAGTAAAAAGCTCTAATCAACCTGAGAAGAAATACCTGGATTCAAGTTCCTCCTTCATACAATAGTTGAAGTTTATACATATTTACAATATTAACTCGGGAACTGAAAGGAGGACCTCTGACCCTCAAGTTTATTCCCTGATTAGTAGATTAAAAAGTCAACCTCTCACTGGTCCCACGAATTTTTAATTATTCATATGCAGACCTTTTCTTCATATTCTAATAGTTTATGACCAACAATAAAATGCTAAAAGCAATTTTATGTAGGTGGGTAGATGGTAAATGGATATTTCACGAATGTTATAGTATCCTTAGTGTGTAAAATCAGTACATAAATGCACATCATGTTTGATGTTATTTCTGATTGCAGCAGATCTCATAGAATATTATTGCTTTTTAAAGCAAATTCTAGGTGGTAATATTTATAAATAAGCAATTGTCATTAATGCATTAAATAAGAAAAAAGAATAATAGCCATGTGGGCAGAATTTGCAAATACACTCATATTTCATAATTGAGCAAAGGTGAACTTTTTTATCATAGTTTCATAAAATAAATATATATTTAGCTAGAATAGACATAGTTCTAGCTTACAAAATTATATTATAAATATTTGTATTTTTATTCACAAATGGATTTTTTTTTAATTTATTGAGTTGTTTGTATTCTAAGGTAAACAAGGATAAATAATTTCCCTAAAATGCATAAAAATATAGGGAAATACTTCAGCATATCCATTTAAAAATAAGAACAACAAACCCAAAAATTAAAATGTGTTAGGCACTGCAGACCAAGGTTTGTATTCTAGAGAAAGATAATTGTATCTAGCTGTTTTGATTAAAGACTTAAGCGCAGTTATGCCTGTAAGTAATGTTATCTCAAGTTCACATCTATATGGATATATTTTGATTAAAGTGCTTCTTATATATATATATATATATACATATAATCAAACTCTTTTTTCAGTGTTTTCTTTATTAAAGCAAATATCTTCATTTAGTTTTATGTTGCTTCTGGATTATGTTTAGCATATTATAAAGGAATGTTCTCAGCTTCACATTTGCCTCAAAAAGGTCATGTCTTACATTATATTTTTATTAAGCAGCTAGTTTAATACATAGAATCATAGAATCATAAAATAGATAGGATTGGGAAGGACCTTAAGTTCATCTAGTTCCAGCCCCCCTGCCATGGCCAGGAATACCTCACACTAAACCGTGTCGCCCAAGGCTCTGTCCAACCTGGACTTGAACACTGACAGGGATGGAGCACTCACAGCTTCCCTGGGCAGCCCATTCCAATGCCTTAGCACCCTTAGAGTAAAGAACTTCTTCCTTATATCTAACCTAAACTTTCCCTGTTTGAGTTTTAACCCATTACCCCTTGTCCTACCACTACAGCCCCTGATGAAGAGACCCTACCCAGCATCCCTATAACCCCCCTTCAGATACTGGAAGGCTGCTATGAGGTCTCCAGCCCCAACTTTCTCAGCCTGTCTTCATACAGGAGGTGCTCCAGTCCCCTGATCATCCTTGTG